ACCAATAAAACTTTAAACGCTGTATAATTAAGCCCAAAATCAAGTCCATTAACAACTAAATTTAGTAAAATAAGCCCTTATATGCATCAAAATATTTTTTTTTGGGTCTGTGTTAAAATATAATTTATAAAATCAATATATTAAGTTTTATAATTTAATTCAAATTATAACCTCTGTAACTATTTAATTGAGATTAGAACCTTAATTTCATTGCTTTTGTTTCAATTTGGATGGTTATAGTGTCTTTCAAAGCACGTTGTATGGAACTAGAGACTAATCAAAATTAAAACCTTAATTTCATTATTAAAATTATGTGGAACTTACTATCCGTTTCCAAGCAAAAGAAACTTCATCGGTCTTTTACAGTGCATTTAATGAATATCAAGAAATGTTATAATTATTTAGCTTTTCATGGTCAAATTATGAATAACATATTCTCAAGGTTATAATTAATTATTATATTCAATTGCAACATTTTTTTTAACAGCAAAAAATAATATTTATTAATAAATGGAGTACAAAGGGTAGCCCAAACCCATAAACATCATAACTTAAAAGGCATCATATTACATGAGTGGAATAACCCTTTTATATGGTGTCGACCCCTGAGTTATGTATCAATACCACGTCTGTCTCAGAGTTTTAGATGCTTACCATATGGTGTCGATACTAAAATTATGTGTCGACACTATACCTATGTCGGATTTTTGTCATCTTTTGCAATTTCTTCATATATCATTGCTCTAATCCTCAAAAACTTCCCATTGGTTAAACCCAAGTTGCTTTGTCCACCCAAAAATTAAGGTGCCCTTGTTTATCTCCCATAGTTCTACCTAGCTATTACAGATTTTTAATATTCTTTCTGCTACCACAGTTGATCTTCATGCAGCTTGTGGGATTATGTATCCAATACTGAATAAACAAAAGTTTAGCTTGTTGAACCTATCCGAAACTTCCTATATCAGAAACAACAGCAACAAAATCAGACAAAGGTTTAGTATAGGTTTAGTATAGGTTCAGTATAGGTTCAGTAGCTTGCTAACCTTTACACAGCTAAGTGTTGTCAACTCTAAGTAGGCCAGCTTTCCTATTCCATTTAGCTTTTAGGCTCAAGACTGGTTCCATCATCCATTCATAGAAATTAAAGGAGTATCCCTTTACCTTAGCCTTGATCCAGTTGAATGCTCTAAGCTGCACAAGTTCGAAGATTCTGTTGGCTTCATACTCACAAATTTTAAATATCTTTGCATTTCTTGCTATCCAGAGGGACCAAATAATGGAGAACCAAATAATGGAGAACCAGATCACATCCCACCCCTCTCTCACTGATGGTTCTTTGAAGTAAGAAAGGTGTTGCTCAAAACTTTCATAACAAGTTTTAGGAAAGACCGTTGATGTCCTCCACCATTGTAAGCACTTATGCCACACCGATTGAGCAATTCTACAGTGAATAAACAAGTGGTTGCCATCTTCCATATTCTCACCACATAGGCTGCATAGCACTTGGTTAGGATCAGTTATGATGCCCCTCACATATAGATTGAGCTTTGTGGGGATTCTATCTTGTAAAGCTTGCCAAGTGAATGCATTAACTTTTGTAAGAATAAATTTGCTCCATATCCTTTTGTGTATCCCTGTTCTGTCATTTCGGTTGTTGCCTAAAAGAAGATCATATGTTGTCTTAGCTACATACACCCCTTCTTTATCATGCCTCCATTCCCATCGGTCTTTTTGATCTTTGACAGGTTGAGAATTTTCCAATAATTCCCGAAGCTTTATAACATTGTCTTTCTCCCATTCATACAGTTGTCTTCTCCATTGTAATGACCATTGCCATTTTCCTTTCTTCTAGTTACCCATTTGGCAAATTCTTTTGTCTTTATCTGTAGACACAAGGAATAATCTAGGAAATTGATTAACAAGAGGTTGATCCCCAATCCCCACATCCTTCCAAAATCTAACTGAATTACCCTCCCCCATTTTTAGTTTGAATCCCTCTTTTTGAGCCATCCCTCCTTGTTGTGTTCAATGTGGTTTAACCTGCAAATATTTTTCCACCATAAAGACCCCTTTTGTCTACCCTCTTGTACCCATTCCAACCAATTACGCTCCTCATTTCCATACTTCTCTTTAATGATTCTATATAACAGACTTTCATTCTCAATTGCCATTCTATTCCACCATTTACCCAACAAAGCAAGGTTGAATCTTCTAAGTTCTTTGATGCCTAACCCTCCCTCAATTTTACTCCTACACACTTTGTCCCAACAAACCCATCTAATTTTCCTCTTCCCCTCCCCACTCCCCCATAAAAAGTCCCTACGAATTCTATCAAGAGAAAGAATCAAACCTTATGGGAGCAAGTGCACAGACATGAGGAACATAATGTGCCGTTATATCACTCGTTGTGTTTATAATAGTTGCTTCTTTTTTTTTTTTTTTCGAGTGGCTAAAATAATTGCATGTAATTATGTTATGTGACATTGTAAACTTATAATATAATATATTATTATATAATTGGTTTCTTTGTATTGAGAGGTCAATCTATAATATTATATATATTAACTCATTTAATAACACATCATATTTATTTAATATCACGTCATATTTATAAACTTACAATTATACGTGGCATTGTAATTATAGCGTTGCCATTAGTTTTTTTAATTAATTAATAATGGAATTTAAGATTCTAGTCTTGTTTAATTAATATATTAAATTTATAATATCAATTAAGTAAATTAAAAAAAATTAATATATTAGTTTTGATAAATTGTATTCTAACCCATACATGTAGGGCTCATTAATTTGACTAAATTGAATTAATAATGGAATTTAAGATTCTAGTCTTGTTTAATTAATATATTAAATTTATAATATCAATTAAGTAAATTAAAAAAATTAATATATTAGTTTTGATAAATTGTATTCTAACCCATACATGTAGGGCTCATTAATTTGACTAAATTGATTTGTTGAAGGAATTGATTTTGGACTTAATTGAATAGAATTGAAGATTTATTGGTTAAAAGGTAATTATATTGGACCACGTGGGTTGTATACAATGCCACGTCGTTAAAAAATTTAACCAAAAAAAGAGGGAGTTAATGACCAGTAACTAATGGTTGCACTTTAAAGCTAAGTTGAGTGATTAAATTTATAAATTTGAATTCTAAGTCATTAAAATGAAAGTTATTGTTAAGTTGAGTGACCACAGGTGCAGTTTACCCTTAATTAAATTGACATAAAGATCATTTTATTTGAATTATATCTTTATTTTTTTTTTAAATCTTTATTTAGATACTAAATATTTTTCTTACATTTGAAATGGTCCTTGAAATTCATATTATTAAAACAAAATTTTTAACAAAATAAAAGTTAGAGTATCATATTAAATGTCTTTCAAAAGTTTAGGGGGAGGCAGCCGTGTCCTTCATTGACTCCGTCCCTGTATAGGAGTCAAAATTGTCTGCTGAATTAAGTGTGAGCATAATGATGCTTGAGCTGTTTCCAATTTGGCATCAGCGTGCCTCAAGTCAGATTTACTTCGAGCAATTGTTGCAGCTGTTTCACCATTTACAGAGGTCTGTGCTCCCATACTTTAAGGGTGGTTCATGACATGGTATTGAACTCAAAATTGTGCGCAGAATTAATTGTGCATATGATGCTTGTGCAGTTTCCAATTTGGCATTAACTAGCCTGCAAAGGCGGAGCCAGGAATTTTAGTAAGGGAGATTAACTTTTTAAGTCTTAAAATAATGTATTGTAATTTTGATAATTTATTTCATATCATATATTAAAATAATACTTGACAAATCTTCATGTCACAAAATCTATTTATAAATATTGTCTACATTAAATGATTACACTATTTCTTTTTAATATAAAGTATAAATAATCAAAGAGTTTGAGGGGGATTCATTCTCCATTTTGCTGAGAAGTCTTGTTTTCACAATTTTCATGATAAAAAATATTTTTTCTGTTATTGCTATAGAAACTTGAACACAATTTTCATGGTAGAAAATATTTTTTCTGTTATTGCTAATGAAACTTGAAGAGTAAACATCAAAATAATTAATTTGTAAATGAGATTATAGACATCTGATTTTCTTGTCTCCACAAACCATTGACATAGTTTAGAAATACAACAATATCCTATCTCTTCACCCTACCACTTTTTACAAGCAAACAAATTTTTTTTCCCTTTTTACAAGCTAATTACACTTTATATGAGTTTATGTTCCTTTTATACTAATTTATGTTCCTATTGCTTTTCTCTATATGACTATATCCAAGGTTTTTCCTTTTATTGGATTCATATATGTTCCCTTTATGGATTTGTACTTTCTTCTCTTTTTTTTTTCAATCTTTTTACTCTGATCCAATTCTATTTCATATAACTTCAATATTACCATAATATTCAATTTTATTTGTAATCTCAACAACTCTAAATCCTAAAAAGAAATTATACAATTTTTTGTGTTTAGGGATTACCTTCTACACCAGAACAACAATAATGCCCAACAAAACACTAGTGGTAACTCACAGCAAACAGTGGACCTAAGGGAAGGAAATGAGCAGTTGACACTGGTGAAGCAATTTCAGAATATGAACCTGCGTAGCTTCAAGGGAGTCCCTGATCCTAATGTGGCTGAGTCTTGGGTCAAGAAACTAGAAAAGATGTTCAAGTTGCTAAAGTGTACTGACAAGTAAAAAATGGAGTTGGCAGTGTTCACGTTAAAAGGTGAAGCTGATGATTGGTGGACAGTTGCTCAAGATGGGTTCTCTAAGAAGGGGGAGAAGGTAACATGGGACAAGTTTGTTCAGGCCTTCTATCGGAAATATTTTTCTGAAGCTGTGTTGGAAAGAAAGGAATTGGAGTTTCCACTCCATCACCATTAAGCTTGCTAAGGTGCCAGTTGATTTTCTACAAGGTGCCAGTTGATTTTCTACTAAGTGCATTTGCAACCACATTTTCCTTTCCAGGTTGATAGACAATTTTGCATCTATAGTCATTCAGATACTCCATCCATCTTCTTTGTCTCAAGTTAAACTCTTTTAGTGAAAATAAATATTTCAAGCTTTGGTGATTAGTGTGCACCTCAAACTCTTCTCCATACAAATAGTGCCTCCACAACTTAAGTGCAAAAATTATGGCAGCAAGTTCTAAATCATGTGCAGGGTAATTCCTCTCATGTGTCTTGAGCTGTCTGGACCCATAAGCTATCACCCGTTCATGTTGCATAAGTACACAACCAAAGCCTTTGTAAGATGCATCGGTATATACCACAAAGTTTCCTCCATTGTCGGGAATAACAAGAATTGGTGATGTGACCAATCTATTCTTCAACTCTTGAAAGCTTTGCTCACATTTATCTGTCCATTCAAACTTTTGATTCTTACAAGTAAGTTGTGTTAACGGACCTGAAATTTTTGAATATCCCTCCACAAACCTTCTATAATATCCTGCTAACCCGAGGAAGCTCCACACTTCGGTGACACTAGTCGGCCTTTCCCATTTCACAACTGCTTCCACTTTACTCGGATCAACTGATATGCCATCTTTAAAAACAATATGACCTAGAAAACTAATTTGATTAAGCCAAAATTCACACTTATCAAACTTGGCATACAACTTCTTTTCTCTCAAAATCTACAATATAATGGCAAGATGCTCATCATGGCTCTTTTCATTAGGAGTAAAGAAAAGAATGTCGTCAATAAAGACAATGACAAACTTATCCAAGTATAGTTGAAAGATTCTATTCATAAGATCCATAAAAGCTACAGGGGCATGGGTTAAACCAAATGGCATTACCAGGAACTTGTAGTGCCCATATCTGCTTCTAAAAGCAGTCTTCATCACATCCTCGGGTTTAACCTTTAGCTAATAGTAACCCGATCTAAGATCAATTTTGGAAAAGACACATGCCCCTTGTAACTGATCAAACAAATCATCAATCCTTGGCAAGGGATATTTGTTTTTTACGGTGACTTGATTCAACCATCTATAGTCAATGCACAATCTAAGTGAGCCATCTTTCTTCTTTACAAAAAAAAAACTGGAGCACCTTAAGGAGAAGTACTGAGTCTAATGAACCCCTTATCAAGAAGCTCTTGCAACAGCTTTTTCAATTCAATTAATTATGTTGGGGCCATTCTATAAGGTTGCTGGGATATTGGTGAAGTACCAGGCACAAGGTCTATAGTAAATTCAATCTCCCTATCTGGAGGTAACCCAGGCAACTCTTTGGGAAAAACATCAGGGAAGTCTTCCACTACCCAAATTCCTTCTACAGACACTAGCTTGTCTTTAGATTCAAAAACATATGCCAGATATCCATAACATTCATGCTGCAACATTTTATCAGCTTGCATGCAAGAAAGAAGTAATGGAAATGATCCAACTTTTTCTCCTTCAAACCAAATCATAGGCTGGTTAGGAGCAGAAAAAGTAACCACCTTCTCATAACAATCAACCATGGCATAATGGGTAGACAACCAATCCATACCAAGTATGACATCAAATTCCACTATTCCTAACAAAATCAGATCGGCAAGCAAAACTCTACCCTCTACCCTCTACCATAACTCTACAGGATCTATAGATGGTTTTTGATGTTAAAACCTCCTTAGAAGGAGTATTCACCACAAGCACACAATCAAGGGTCTTAGGCTCCACATGCAAAAATGGCACATACTTAGGTGACACAAATGAGTGGGTAGATCCAAAGTCAATCAACACATGGCATTCCCAAAAGAGATAGGTATTTTACCTTTTATAACTGTAGGAGTGTTTCGAGCTTGTTGTTCTATAATAGCAAAAACTCTTCCTTGGACCCTTCGCTTCTTATTCTCTTGATCCTTTGGCTGCTAACTTACTCCCTTGAGAATCAGGCAATCCTTGATCAAGTGACCCGTCTTCCCACACTTAAAACATGCCCCAGTCTTCCAATAGCATTCCTTCCCTCCATGATTCTTACTGCACCTCTTGTTGAAAGGCTGGTTGTTAGTAGCCCTGCCTTTGCCTTTTTGATCATGAGTCTCCATCTTTTGCTCATCCATATCTTGCTCAATTATTTGAACTGTGGTTAAGACCTCATCATAAATCTTTAACATTTGAGGAACCACCTTGTTCCTAATGGAAGCTTTCAACCCTTTCTGAAACTTCCTTGCCTTCCTAACTTCATCATTAACAAGGTGAGGAGCAAACTTCATAAGCGAATTGAATTTAGCTTGACACTCATCAACTGTCATGTCATCTTACTTCAAATTCATGAACTCCAATTCCTTTCTTTCCAACACTGCTTTAGACAAATATTTCCGATAGAAGGCCTGAACAAACTTGTCCCATGTTACCTTCTCCCCCCTCTTAAAGAACCAATCTTGAGCAACTATCCACCAATTATCAGCTTCACCTTCTAACGTGAACACTGCCAACTCCACTTTTTACTCGTCAGTACACTTTAGCAACTTGAACATCTTTTCTAGTTTCTTGACCCAAGACTCAGTCACAGTAGGATCAGGGACTCCCTTGAAGCTAGGCGGGTTCATATTCTGAAATTGCATCACCAGTGTCAACTGCTCATTTCCTTCCCTTGAGTCCACTGTTTGCTGTGAGTTACCACTGGTGTTTTGTTGGGTATTATTGTTGTTTTGGTGTAGAAGGTAATCCCTAAAGACAGAACTCATGTCTGTAATGGCTTTTTGCATTACATCCATTCGGGCATTCACGTCATCAGTAGGAGTAGGAGTAGAAGTATTGTCTCCCTGACTCATCTTTCTCCTTTGGTACTGATACGAACAAAGAAATAGCACAATTAATGGTTAGGCAAAAATCTAATCCTATGACACTAGACTCTAACTCACATGGTAGATCAATGTATTAGCAAAACCTTGATTCTGATACAAAAAAATATAACACATCTCCCTAGGCACTTTTAGTCCTAGAAGAATTCGGAAATAAGATTTATAGTAAAGAATTGTAGCGGAAGTAAAAACACTTCTGATATAAAATGTTTCTTCAAAAGAAAGTTTGTATTCATAAAATCAATTTACATTTTGAAAAGAGAAGATTATAGATACCTGTAAAGGAAAACCACTTTAACAAAAAAAAAAAAATATCAATATATATTGGAAAAATGCCAAAATATTCAAAGTTATAAAATGAACTGAGCTAAGCTCATTTATAATTAATTTAAAGATTTTATACACAAAGGTAATTTACACAAAAATAATATGAGGCAAATTCTTCTTCAAAGCTTTTCAAAAGAACAAAAGTTGAGTCATTGTTTTGGTAACACATCGATCTGCCTTCTTATCAAAAACACGAGACCCTAGCTTGTACATACAACCAGTATACGAGTCCCATGCCAAAAGCCCTCAAACCAAGAGGCTGTTACCTTGATCTACTAATCTAAAATGGGGGGGCATTTTTATGAGCTAACAGCCCAATAAGTAATAAATTTAAACTATAAACTTGGGTCCTAAGATCCCTATCCTAAGATCCCTAGACCTATACACACAAAAAGCATGAGATACCATGGAACCAAACCACATAATATTATAATTCTCACTATTTAAATAATAATTTTATATTTCAGATCACAATCACACATGTCAAGGAATAATCAATGATATTTAAATTAAATTATGTAATAAAATCATATACTCACAAACACGATGTCACAAGCATAATGCATCAAACCAAAAATCACACAATGCTATGGAGTCCACTGATGTGTGCTAGCAATACTGTACCGAAGCTAATCACAGTACTAACCCTACTACGCAGACGTCCACTAATTACCCCGAAGGGTCCATTGAATACCCCAAGCTTTAAGTTTAGGTCCACTTACTCCATAACCACAGGTACATATACATGTCAAATAAGTTTAGAACATGTCTAAAATAATATTAGAATATTATCTCATTTAATGTTCTCATTAATCAGTCGCATGAACATTTCAAGTTCATACTAATATCCACATACATAACTCACATATTCCATAGAACTTCATATTGAAAGAAATTAAAGTGCATTGCATGAATAGTAATTAGTGTGTGAACAATAATTTATAAATAGTACCCATGGAACAGTAATTACGTGGATAGTAATTACGTGAACAATAATTACGTGAACAGTATTTAAAAGTAGCAATCTACTCCAAGCTCACGCACAATTTCAAAGACCAATTGATTATATAAATTCTAACATAATCACACAAGGTGTACAAGCAATAACAGTAGTACTAATGAATAAAATCCACACCAAATCAAGTATGGAAAAAGGAAAATGACTTATTATCCATCCAGTACAAGCCCCAAAAATTAAAGATATTTCTAATGAAGTTTTAATGCCCAAAAATCTTATAAACCAAAGGATTTGTGTCAAATCTCACCAATTTAAACTATACAAAACTCTAACCCTAAATTCATAACCAAAACTTCTACTTACCTAAAAAAGCAACTTAACCTTGTTGGAGAAAAAAGGAAGAATGATGCAGGTGGAAGAGGAAGACGCAAGAAAAAAAATGGGGCTTTTGGGAGCCTTCTGGAGGCTTATTCAAGTCCAACCGACAAAGAAAAAAAAGCTTGGTTGGTATAATGCCATGTGGTAAGAGAAATTAGAATAATTGAGTTAAAGCCATTCAACTCCTACTAAGTTCTACTTAAAACCCCTAAATTTTAAATTCGATCAATTTAATCCCTAAAACTATAAACTAAAGGACTCTAATTTTTAAATTATTCACTAAGGTATGTGAGGTGTTACAATTCTGGGATAAATTTTAAATAAAAAATATAAATTATTTTGGGATAGAGAGAGTATACTAATTTTTTTGTTAGAATATATTTACTAACAAGTATAAAACAAAATTTTAAAATAAAATAAAAAAACTTACAAAACTTTAAAATTGAAATCCAATATGACAATATATGATTCATATAAAAAGAGATAACGTTGTTTTTAGTCTTTATCAAGAAGTTAGTGGTCCCTTTGGTGGTCTCTTAATTTGTCTTCAAGCTTTCAACGAGCAGAACAGTGTTGTAGTGGCTTGTATCAAGCCATCGACGAAGTCTCTTTTTTCTCTTTTTTCAATTTTTTTTTGAAGTTTTCAATTTTTTTTTTGAAGTTGATTAGTTGAACGAGATTGACACTGGGATAGTAGGGTTGAATACTAGAGAAATGGTATATAAGACACAAAAATTGGTTTTTCTTCTTCTT